ATTTTTATTTGTTTTCAACAGGAGGTTGGGCTCAATAACCTTATTATTATGAAGGAATGTGTGGACTTTTGCCTTTTTTCCCCCCTTCCTTTATCTCTTTTGCCTCTGAGGTTTCCGAACTAGGAAAGTAGGTGTATGACAAGGGTTAATAATGTGTAGTGAGGAGTGATGTTGCTCTTAGTACTTACTGTAATGTAGTTCTTTAGGAAAAGAACTGTAATTCAGTCTTTTTTTTTTTTAAGTTTATTTATTTTGAGAAAAAGAGCACGAGGTACAATTTATACACCATAAGGTTCATACGTTTTAAGTGCATAAGTAAGTGATTTTTAGTAAATTTATTGAGTTGTGCAACCATCCCCCATAAATCAGTTTTAGAACATTTGTTCTACCCAGTGAGAGTCCTCCATCCCATTTATAGCTAGTTCATTTGTACTCCTAGCCCCAGCAACCACTGATTGTACCCCCAAACCCCCACCATTTGCCTCTTCTGGACGTTTCATATTAATGAGTATGTGATCTTTTGTGTTTTGCTCTTTTCATTTAGCATAATATTTTTGTGGTTATCCATATTGTAGCATGTATCAATATTTTGTTTAAAGTTTATTTATTTTTGAGAGACAGAGCACAAGCAGGGGAGGGGCAGAGAGAAGGAGACACAGAATCTGAAGCAGGCTGCAGGCTCCAAGCTTTCAGCACAGAGCCTGATGCAGGGCTTGAATTCATGAACCACGAGACCGTGACTTGAGCCAAATTTGGACGCTTAACCAACTGAGCCACTCAGGCACCCCTCAATATTTTGGTTTTTATTGCTGAATAGTATTCCAGGGTATAGGTACACCACATTTTATTTATCCACATTTTATTTGTCTTTTCTTCAGTTTGTGAAAATTTGGGGTTGATTTAACTTTATGGATATTTCATTATTTTAGCTGGTATATATACACTCTGTAGTCAAAAAAGACATTGCTAGGCTTGTCCTGTATGAGCAGTGCATCTCCATTCTTTACAACAGGTCCTGGCTCTGTGCTAGGAATTGATATGTAGTTGCCAAGAAACTTAATTATGATCATACTTTGGCTCCTGCTCAGTTTCATATTTGCTCTGTGCCATGTATTGAGATTTGCATGATTTATTCCTCTCTCCATTAGCTTTTGTAATTTTCTGCCTTTTAATATTTACCTTTAGTATCCAGAAGGTCATATTCCTCTTTTACTCTTGATATTCTTTATGTTGGTTTGGCAAGTCATTTCCTTTTGGCCATTTGTAGAAAAGTTGGATATGGTGAGTTATTTCTCCAGGTGCTTTCAGCTCAACTGGTTTTGTGGGATGAGCAATCTAGGTGAGAACATAAGTGGGAGTAGGGGGTTGTGGTGGCAGGTGTAGTTGAGGAGGACAAGAAACAAGCTCAGGAACAGAAGTTCAGGAAGCATCTTAGGTTTTAAGTCATTCAGTTGTGATCAGGCTGTTTTTATTTACAGGATATTAACTCTATTGTACATTTAAGGGGAGGGGGGATTGGTAATCCTTTCCTTAAAAAGGACAGATAGTAAATATTTTAAGCTTGCAAGCCATACTGTCTTGTCACTCTCAACTCTCTAGCACAAAAGCAGTCATAAGTCATTAGTAAATACGTGAGCATGGCTGTATTCTAATAAGACATTATTTATAAAAATAGTCCCATTGGGGGCGCCTGGGTGGCGCAGTCGGTTAAGCGTCCGACTTCAGCCAGGTCACGATCTCGCGCTCCGTGAGTTCGAGCCCTGCGTCAGGCTCTGGGCTGATGGCTCAGAGCCTGGAGCCTGTTTCCGATTCTGTGTCTCCCTCTCTCTCTGCCCCTCCCCCATTCATGCTCTGTCTCTCTTTGTCCCAAAATAAATAAAAAACGTTGAAAAAAAAAAAATTAAAATAGTCCCATTGGTAGTGTGCCAAACCCTAAACCTTTAAAGGATTGTTTTATATAACTTGGTGAAGAGCAATGCATGCACTTGTGCAGGAACCTCTAATAGGTATGTCAGATACAGTGTTCCTCTTAATTTCTAGGTCTTTTGTGTTTTTGCTGATTTTCTTGTGGATCTCAAGGAAATGGAGAGGTAAAGGACTAAAGCTTAATCTGAGAAGTTACTCTGTGAGAGAAGTGAACCCAAAGGTAGAATGGGGGACAGAGGCTTCAGGAGGAAAAGGAAGAAGGATTAGCCCATGCAGCCTTTTAAGACAACAAAAGAGAGAACACAACCTCTGTAGGACTGAGATTTAATTAGTGTGGGGAAGTAGTGATAGATGGGGGCAGGGAGACTGGTTGAGGAATATGATGATGTGACAACATAGGGATAGGTTTTAGTAAAAAGTACCCAATATTTTTGGAGTGTGGACAGATTTTGGTTCGAATCATTGCCTTGCCACTTAAATAATGGACTAACTTGAATGGGCTTAGGCAAGACACTTTCTTCTTCAAGCCTCAGTTGCATTTTTTATAAAATGGGGATGTTATCACCTATCTTGTAGATTGAAGATTAGAAATTCATGAATATGACATGGCTGAACTGTGACTTGGGCATAGTAAATCCCTGTTATTCCTTATCATTTCTTTGGTCTTACTTGTGTTAAAAAATGCTGTTGGTGTTTAAAAAACTTGGATGCTATGTCTAATGGGAATATATTAAAGGCATAATGTATTTGCTTCAGAGCATAAAGTTATTACCCATCAACTATCATAGGTACAGATGTATATATTTATTTAAAGATCTATTTGGCTATTTCTTTGCTCTAAGAGAGATTTTTCAGATATTATTTGAGGGGAACATTTTAAGTAATTGCTTGGCTTTGGGTGGTTTAACTTCTTTTGAAATACTTGCTTGGGAAATACCAATTTGGATCACTTACAGGTTTATGGTCTAAAAATGTTGTTAGGAAAATTGCATTGGTTGAAAGGTTTAACAAGCCCCATAATTATAGTGGGAGCTCTATAGGTATATAAATTTGGTAGTTATTTCAGCTTCTACCATTAACTTTTTATTTTTTGTTAATATTTTATTTTTTTAGAGCAGTTTTGGGGTCACAGCAAAATTGAGGGTAAGACACATAGATTGCCCACTCTGTCCACACCACAACTTTTCCTGTTACCAACATCCCCCACCAGAGTGGTACATTTGTTTCGATTGATGAACGTACATTGACACATTATAATCGCCCAAAGTCCATAGTTTACCTTGGGGTTCATTCTTGGTGGTGTACATTATTTGGGTTTGGACAAATGTGTAATGACATGTTTCCATGATTATGGTATCCTACAGATTATTTTCATTGCCCGAAGTCTGTGCTCTGCTTATCTATCTATCCCTCTTTCTCTGCTAGGCCTCCCTTCCTCACCCTGTAACCACTTTTTTATGGTCTTCATAGTTTTGCCTTTTCCAGAATGTCATATAGTTGAAATCCTATAGTGCGTATGTAGCCTTTTCAGATTGGCTTTTTTCACTTGGTAATATGCACTTAAATATCTTTCATGTCTTTTCATGGCTTGATACTTTAGTGGTGAGTAATATTCTATTGTCTGGACATAACACAGTTTATCTTTCCATTCACCTGCATCTTGGTTGCTTCCAAGTTTTGGTAATTAGGAATAAAGCTGCTTTAAAAATTGATGTGCAGGGGTGCCTGGGTGGCTCAGTCAGTTAAGTGTGAAAACCTGACTTCAGCTCAGGTTATGATTTCACAGTTTGTGGGTTCAAGCCCCGTGTCTGGCTCTGTGCTGACAGCTCAGAGCCTGGAGCCTGCCTCAGATTCTGTGTCTCCTCTCTCTGCCCCTCCTCGATCGCGTCTGTCTCTCTCTTTCTCTCTCTCTCTCTTTCTTTCTCAAAAATAAATAAACATTGAAAAAAAATTTTAATGATGTGCAGGTTTTCAGGTGAATATAAGTTTTCAACTCCTTTTATATTAGATTTAAATAACTAAGTGGTATATTATTATTGTGAAATTACAGTAGTTAGAATTAAAATTATTTTCCATATTTTGTCATAATACAGTTTTATGGCTTGTATCTAAGGAGTAAAAGCCTTTGCCAAGCTGTAATTTGACCTTTTCCTTTTAGTCTCAACTTTTGCATTTCTTTTATTGAATGTCAGTATTGCCACATTCAACTGAGGCAGAAATTGTTCCCTCTGAGGTTGTTGTGTCATGAAATACCTCTTGCTTCTTGAGTACACTGTATCTTACATTCTGTATGCATTAGCTTTTGCTCCAGAAATCTTGTAAAATGATGATAGCATGTTAAGCTGAGACAAAGGTCTATCAGGAAACTATAATAGATTATTGTTTTACCATTAATTCAGAGAAAACTGGTATGATACTTTGAAATTTTGACCATAAAATATGACAGGTTTTTTTTTTTTGGTACCCCAGACTATGTATTTTTATCTTATTTTCTGCTTTTGACATACATGGCATATACATTTTATGTCATTGAGATAATGGTGTACATATACTTAATTACATATTTTTAAATGATTCTGTTTAGAAATACTCCTGTTTCTAATGTGAAACTCACTACAACTATGATATGAAGTTTATGTAAATTGTTTTTGAAATTCACATGGTAGTACTGATTAGGTAAATATTTCATCTGAATATCCATCCAGTATTCTGCATAATCCAGAGAGATGTTATTAAAAACCTCATTGTATATTTTTTGAATTTGCTTGATTTAGACTATATTTTAATATTAGCTGTATCTGTCACTATGGAATACCAGTTAGTTTCAATTTAATCTTTTCCTTAACTTCAGATGGGCTATGTGTATGTGTATAGAGCAACACAAGTCTCTCCCCTCTCGACTTTTGCATATGAGAAACCATAGCAAATCACTTTTAGCCTTTTGGAGCTTAAGCAGAGTGTTTGAAAAACAAGAGTTTCCCATCTCTGTACCTTTGAGAGTGCAGGGATGGTTGTATGAAACAATGGGTTTTCCTCTAACTTTTTTGGTTAATATGAACTTGTTCCTCTTTTAGCTATGCGGTCAGAGAAGAAGCGTCTTAGGAAGCCAAGCAAGTGGCTTCTGGAATATACAGAAGAATATGATCAGATATTTGCTCCTAAGAAAAAACAAAAGAAGGTGCAGGAACAGGTGCACAAGGTATGTTCCAATATTTCAACAGTCTTTTCATCAATCCTTTTAGGATACTGCAGATTTACCTTCAATATTATATTTTGTCTGCATGGGATAATAAATTTCTTAACTGGGATCTTACTTTTTCAGCTTTTTAGCTCCAGCTTCTGGCACAGTACCTAGAATATGCTAGTTATACAAGAAATGTATAAATGTGTCTATGCACTGTGTATAGTAATATATATATATTTACATATATATATAAATTTTTCCCTTTTCTTTCAAAGATTGTTTAATGATTTAGGGTGAAGTATTTAGTAAAATCATAGAATATAAATTTGTATGGTAGGATCGTAATTTTTTTTTTAGGATCGTAATTTTTTTAAGGAAATGTTGTTGATACCTTATTTGCTTTATTTCTTAATTCAGTTTTTTTTGAAGTTTTATATTTATTCAAGTAATCTCTACACCCAACTTGGGGCTTGAACTCATGACCCTGAGTTCAAGAGTTGCACACTCTTCTGACTATGCCACCCAGGTGCCCCTTAATTCAGTTTTTTTAAGGTGAAGCACTTTATTTTTTTTTTATTGAATTTTTTTAAATGTTTATTTTATTTTCGAGAGATTGAAATAGAGCACGAGTGGGGTAGGGGTAGAGAGAGATTGAGGAAGACACAGAATCTGAAACAGGCTCCAGACTCTGAGCTGTCAGCACAGAGCCCGATGCGGGGCTCGAACTCGGGAATTGCAAGATTATGACCTAGGCTGAAGTCGGATGCTTAACCAGCTTAGTCAACACAGGCGCCCCTAAGCTGAAGTACTTTAAAGTAAATTTAAGACACTTTACTTTCTCCTCCTAAATAATATGCGCCTCTAAAAAATAGAACATTTTCCTTCATAACTGATAAAGCATTACTATATCTCATATGATCAGTTTATCTGATAAGAAATCCATATTTAGCTTTCCTCACTTGTCCTTTAACCTTTATATTTGGTTTATCCATTCCAGGATTACACATTGTATCTGGTTGTTACATTTCTTAAATTTCTTTTAAATCCAGAACAGTTCCCCTGTTTTATGACCCTAAGTAATGAGAGTGAGTACCTTTACAATATCTCCCTTCTAGATTTGTATGATTGCTTCTTCATAGGTGTCACTAATCTATCCTCTTTCTTACTAAGTCGAAAACAATTTGATGGATTCACGTTAAACAATTTTAGCTAGATTAAATTATAGGTGCTATTGTGTCATATATTCCATGACATTAGAAGGTATTTAACATTCAGTTGTCTACAGTCTTGACTGATTTCTTCTAAGTCATATTTTGCTCCCTTTGATCAAGAAGCAGTATGTGTGTGGGGCACCTGGGTGGCTCAGTCATTTGAGGGTCCAGCTTCGGCCCAGGTCATGATCTCGCAGTTTGTGGGTTGACCCCTGCCTTGGTGCTGACAGCTCAGAGCCTGGAACCCGTTTCTGATTCTGTGTCTCCCTTGCTGCCCTTCCCCAACTCATGTTCTGTTTCTCTCAAAAATAAATAAACATTAAAAAAAAAAAAATCTTTTGTGGGCGGGGAGGATTATCACTATGGCCTTAAAGAATTTTTATAGTTTTACTCTATCTTAATTGCATTTTCCCCTTTTTAAAAAACTATAGTGAAATCCATATAAAATTTAGAATTGTAGACATTTTTAGGTATACGGTTCTCTGTCTTTAAGTACATTCATTCACATTGTTGTGCAACCAGCACCACCATCCATCATCTCTAGACCTTTTTTCATGTTGGCAAACTCAAACTCTGTACCTGTTAAAGAATAACTTCCTACTTTACTCTCTTCTCAGCCCTTGGCAACCACCATTCTATTTTCTGTCTCTATGAATTTTTACCATTCTAGTTACCTCATTATAAGTGGACTCATACAATATTCATTCTTTATGTCTGGCCTATTTCACTTAGTGTAATATCTTCAAGGTTCATTCATGTTGTAGCATGTGTCAGAATTTCATTTTTAAGTGCATTATTCTTTTTAACACTGGAATTACAGCAACTTTGTGGTCTATGGATTCTACTTCTATTTTTTGCCCTTAGGTAAGTTCCCGCTGTGAAGAGGAAAGCCTTTTAGCCCGATGTCGATCTAGTGCTCAGAACAAGCGGGTGGATGAGAATTCTTTGATTTCAACCAAAGAAGAGCCTCCAGTTCTTGAAAGGGAGGCTCCGTTTTTGGAAGGGCCCTTGGCTCAGTCAGAACTTGGAGGTGGACATGCTGAGTTGCCACAGCTGACCTTGTCTGTGCCTGTGGCTCCGGAAGTCTCTCCACGGCCTGCCCTTGAGTCTGAGGAATTGCTAGTTAAAACACCAGGTAAGATGGGGATGGGGTCTCAGTATGTAAGTGGATAGGATTTTAGTATGTTGTGATGAAAAGCTAATAGTGTATCTCTATATAACAAACTACCCACTTTTCTCCTGGAAATCCCAAAAGTGCTGGCTAATTGAATGTAATTCAGTGACCATGAATTGGTGGTACTCTGTCCAGAAGACATTTTAAAAACTACTCTCCTTACTCTACTGTTGATCTTCATGACTGTTGATCAAACACCATGTGAGTGAATACTTAGGATAACAGTGTTTTAGGGAGGGGCACTACACAGTATAATAAACAAATGAAAGTTATGCTTCAGATACTAGCTCTACCAATCCTTGTGTTACTTAGAAAGTTGTTTAACCTCTCAACATGTTTCCTCATATATAAAATGGACATCATAATGTAATTTACCTGACACATAGTAAGCAGCTAATTATAAATTCTCCCTTGAAGTTAACCAATTGCTTTTCACTTTATCATTCTTTATATACATGTCAACCTGGTGGGAGCTGGATCTAAACATATGGTCTTTAATTTACCTTCTGACTTTTGAATATTATAGTCACCCAAGGAAAATTTTGAATGTAACTTTTTTATATTCCCAACAGTAGCTTGTGGTGTTATTCCTTAAAGTAAAAAAAAGTATCCCAATTGTGCTTATTAATTAAGGCAGAATCCCAAATACTTTTTTTTTTTTTTTTTTTTTTTTCCAACGTTTATTTATTTTTGGGACAGAGAGAGACAGAGCATGAACGGGGGAGGGGCAGAGAGAGAGGGAGACACAGAATCGGAAACAGGCTCCAGGCTCTGAGCCATCAGCCCAGAGCCCGACGCGGGGCTCGAACTCACGGACCGCGAGATTGTGACCTGGCTGAAGTCGGACGCTTAACCGACTGTGCCACCCAGGCGCCCCCCAAATACTTTTAAAAGGAGTAATAATGATAGTTACTATCTCATTATTTATGAACCAAACTCTGTTATTAGGCTTTTTTATATAATTCTTAAGAACAGCCCTACAAAGTAAATGTCTCTTTTATTTGTTTAGGAGTAGAATAAAAATTGTAATCTTGGTGCTGTTATGCTTGGAATTCAGGCTCTACTCCACCTTACTTCTCCTTTTGTCCTTACTAACAGTTAATTAATATAAAAGCAGTTTTGCCCTTTTGATTTTTCCTTTAGTCCTTTTATGAGAGATGTATATAAAAACATCTTCACATTAGTTTGTATCTGCATTGAGAACTATTTTCTTGTTTTATGTTAACTAATATTTTAGAATAAATAAATTCTTATCCTGTCCCTACCCAGAAGATGAGGAGGAAAACATAAAAAATACGGTGATTCATTTTTCTGTGGCATATAGATTTTTTTTTTAAAAATTAGCATGTGATCAGTTTCTAAATCATCTAATGAAAAGATATATGCATTTCAGGAAATTATGAAAGTAAACGTCAGAGAAAACCCACTAAGAAACTTCTTGAATCCAATGATTTAGACCCTGGATTTATGCCTAAGAAAGGGGATCTTGGTTTTTCTAAAAAGGTATGTTATTTTTGTCAATTCTAAAATATGATTAAACCATATGGAAATATGTGATTTTAAAAACAGAGCTTTTAGTAATACTTAGCAACATTGATGCACACTTAACATAGAAATTACAGAATGTTACAGTATATACATTTGGTCTAAGATTCTATATTGAGAGACTGTTCTCCATATGTGTGGACATGTGTATCAGTTGTTTTTAGATTTTCTTTTCAAATGAAAATGAAAAAAGGTTATAAGATTGAGTAAAATTTGTGTTTGTTGTCATTTCTTTTCCAGGCTCAAATCTCTTAACCTGATTTCTACCTCACTTCTGTCTGTATACGCCGCTAACCTACTCTTATCTCACTGCCCTATTTTCATACCAGCTAAGAAAAGACTCAGCTCAGTTATAAACCAAATAGAAATATTTGAACTTAAGTTTTTGAGTTTGCAGACTTGGTTTTCATTAGCCAAGAAGGCATCATTAAATAGTAGATGGAGATAGAAAATTGTTTTCTAATTCTATAATGATGATAGCTGGATATTAATTTTTAAGAAACTTCCTGTTGCCCATATGTATGAGGAGTAATTCAGGGTTTTAGAAATTAAGTTGTTAGGATACACAGATTTCCTTTTTTTTTTTTTAATTAAAAAAAGGTTTTTTTTTAAATTAAAAAAAAGTTTTTTTTTTAATGTTTATTTATTTTTGAGAGAGCCAGAGACAGAATGCGAGTGGGTTGGGGCAGAGAGAGAGGGAGACACAGAATCCGAAGCAGGCGCCAGGCTCTGAGCTGCCAACACAGAGCCCGATGCGGGGCTCGAACCCAAGAGCTGTGAGATCACGACCTGAGCTGAAGTTGGACGCTCAACTGACTGAGCCACCCAGGCGCCCCACAGATTTCTTAAATTTTCTTCTTTAAAGAAAAAAATGGAGATTGCAATCAAATCACAAATTGAGTTTTTAGAGTTTTTTCCTCAGCTATAGCAGCCTTCTATCATTTAATCCTATATTGAAGACTCTAATTTTGTTTGTTAGATATTCACCCATGTCAATTAGCATGTAAATGTAAAACTCAATAGTTGTGTTTTCGTACCTCATTTTAAAGGCTGCATTATATTCGTTAGTTCTTTTATTCTTTTCAATGTCCTAAGACTGGGATTTTGTCTTTGGACATGGACTTTTCAATTCTTAGGTTCATCTGCTCTCTGAACTTTATCTGCAGTTTGTACAACGATCAGTGACAGTATCATGTCCCCAAATCATCATCCTATCATTGCACCTTATACTTTTAAGGCTGTGATAGTTTTCTTCTGCAGTGCTTCCCCTGGCTTTGTCTTATTCAAATCTTAGCCATTTTTAAGATTGTTGAAAGAGGTATATTGTAAGGGACAGGGAAATTGGGATTCAGTTGAATATTTTGAGAGTGGAAGGGACATTTGCAATCAGGTGATAACTTTATTAGTGTTATACAAGGTGAATTATGTAAGGCTGTGGGATCACTGCTAGAAGTGAGATAATGACAGATTTTAAAGAAAAGCAGAATTTGGGGCAATTAAGTAAATGATCCCCCCGCCCCATTTTATTGATATGTAATTGACATACAGTAAGTGAATGGTTTGATTAATCTATATGGTGAGCATTTGGAAATTTGCTGCTGTATTTTGTCTTGTTTTCACCCCAAGTTCTAGTACCTTTACAGCAAGAATAGCATCCATTATGTTGACTTTTTGTGGCCACTAAATTTTGTTTTACACTCATGTTGAAGAATATTTTTATTGTAGGAGAAGCCATTTTCTTGGACTGGAACTAATTTATACAGGCATTATTAGTAGGGGTATAACATGTGTAGGAAATTACTCTTGATATCTAAGTGTTTTGAGTTTTAATGTTGCTTTACATTAACCTGCAGCCACTTAAATCAGGAAGACATTCTGTGGTTCAGAGCTTTCCAGTATATGTGCTTCTGAAGTGAGCACTGATCCAGAGCTCCTTAATATTTAGAATTCATCAAATAAATAAGTCTTTGTAAAAATAATGGCATAAATTCAGTTTTAAGAAGATAGATTTTAAATACAGGGTGGTATGAAATAGAACAGAGATGGTGGGTCGGTTTCTGGGACCATGCCCTTTGTCTTTGTCTACCACTTCAATCAGAACACCATTCTGTATCTGCTTGATCTATTGGGGGTCGCTGCATAATCCCACCCACCTCTTATCCCTGGTTTTTGAAGGAGTATGTGTTTGTATGAGTCTTTTGGAGTTGTGTTTTTTGTTGTTGTGTTTTATCTCATGTCTTTCCCCATGTAGTTTCTGTTCAATCCATTATTGTCATACTGGTTTTTTTTTTTAATTTTAATATAGCTAGGATTTCTGTATCTGTGACAGTAGACAGTTCAACTTTTGGCATATAATACAAAGGGTTTATTTTCTGTTCCTTTGTAAACCTGTTGCATTTTACTTATTTGTAGTGTTATGAAGCTGGCCACTTGGAGAATGACATTAATGAATCACGTGCTGCATCTCATTCTAAAGAGTTTGGTGGAGGTGCGTATTTTTGAGATTTAAATGTTTGAGATTTAAAAAATGTAATGTGGAAATAACTAGGAAACATCTTGTCAGCTAACTAAAAGTTGTTACATATGTAAGCAAGACCAGCAAGGTTGCAACTTCTAAGACTTGTTTGCCCAAGGGGCTCCTGGCTGGCTCAGTTGGAAGAGCACATGACTGTTGAACTCAAGGTTGTGAGTTTGAGCCCCATGTTGGCTTTGGAGATTACTTAAAAATAAATAAGCAAACTTTAAAAAAGAAAAAAAAAAGACTTGTTTGTCAAAATATGCTTCCCAATAGAATGCATGACGCTAGAAAATTGTCTGGTCATCTTCAGTTACATGCTGAAATTAGAATTACAGATTTAGAATGTAGAATCCTGGAATTAGAATTCTGTTAGAGTAAGTAACTGGTAGCAACAATAGAGAAAATGAGCTACTTAATTTTCTTATTAGATGGTTCTCCAACTCTATCATTACTTTCTTGGCTTTGATTCAATTTTTATTATGTAGGACAGAAAATAAGGAGTCTGAGTTGAGGGGGAAATTACAAGTCATCTAAGCCAGTCTTTCACAAATAGTCTTAGTTTCTTTTACCACATCTTTGATCTTTGGTGAGTGAGTATATGCTTGATAAAGGGAGCTTACATTTCAGTCTGGTCCATTGTGGTTGCTTCTTAAGGGCTTTGAAATCTTTTAAATTGTTTTTTAATCTGACTCCTGAAACTTAGACATGGTGATCTTGGTTCTGCCAATTGGAGGAATGGGCAGCTCTTTATTGAGTAACAGATACAGTAATCATAGTTTGTGCATTTGCTCTACCATGTTCTTTGCTCAGTTCCTTTGTTTAGGACTGTTAATCTCTAATCCATCGAAAGCATTAGAGAGAATTAGGATATTATCCATATTATCCCTATTTTATAGAAGAATATGAAGATGAAAGAGGTGGCAGAGTTGGGAAGACTAATTCCAGACCTGACCACATTCATTGCGACACTACTTGTTATACACCCCATCTTGTTATACACCCCAAATTTTCTACATGCCAATTCTTTGTGTCACTTTGATCATTCATCTGCCGGTGCCATTTATTGATTACTGTTATTTCTGAAGTGTTAGGCCAGATTTGAGCACATAGCATCAGATGTGCCAGCAAAGGGTATCATGGGAAGGTTATATTGCATGTGATCTTAAATGAGTACATCTTTAAATGTGACCCATGATTATTAAGTTTTTTAGTAAGTAAATCTAGCAATATGTTCACTTATGTTAATCTTGTGTGCAAATGTAATTTCATCAATTTGCTTGCTTTAGGAAAAAAACTTTCAAAGTAATATCAGCTCTTCTCTTACACTTTTATACTCCAGTTTTTATAAAACCCAAAACTTATTCTTTATCTTTTGTAAATTTCATCTGAATATTTTAGCTACTGAGAAGTTTGAACCTTCATTCTGCTATTCTGTTAATTATTCTTTTAGTTATAGGTAGCCAGCAGCTTTGATAGCAGAGCTTCTCCATCTGTATCAGGCAGTCCCAAGAAGAGAATACTAAACCAGTTTTCCAAAGTCTAGCCTTCATGTTGATACCTAGCCTAATTATCCTGGAACATTTTATGAAATATTACTTTAAATTCCTGAAATTTCTGTAACAAAGAGGTGAAATAAGTATAAAATATAATGAGGGAAGGACTGGAATTTCATTTTGTATATAGGCCATGTTAGAGCATGCATATATTTTAAATTGTTGGATGTTCAACATTATAGTACCATTGCTAAATATCCTTTAAGTTACTAAATGTGTTAAGGGAGATCTCCCTTTCCTCAAGCCATATATTATGTATTTCAGCCTTTCATCTTAATGCTTAAATCATATAGTGCTATAATGTACTATCTTTAATTGTGGAGGTCGAATTTTAGTATCTTTTCCTGACTACTAAATGTATTTCCTCCCCATTTACAGGATGTTAAAGTCCTTTGAGGAATTAAGAAGTTTTTCATTTCAATCATGTAAAATGAAATTGTCTTAACCTACTTATACATTTACTATTTAATCTGTATGAGGCAGAATTTATATGTGTGTAGCTATTTTCCCAACTAATTATGTAGTCGTGGGTAAATCTCCCCACCCTGTGCCTTTTTCCCTCATCTACAAAGTTGGGGAATTAAATGGGCTTTAAGATTGGTTTTTTATTCTAACATTCCATAATTCTATGAGGTCCTTTTAGTTGAGGATAGGAGTTCTTGGACATGTAAGTGATTAGCCAGGAGGTAACACCTGTTTTCCTGTCATAGGCACTACGAAGATATTTGATAAACCAAGGAAGCGAAAACGACAGAGGCATTCTACAGCCAAGGTGCATTGTAAAAAAATGAAAAATGACGACTCATCAAAAGAAACTCCAATCTCAGAGGTATTACTCAGTTCCTCATCTTTTGACCTTCCAAAGCAAATCTACTTTTCACAGTAGAGGCCACATCCCTCTTTCCCTTGAGTTAAGAGTAATGTTCTACTGAAATAGCTAATGAAAAGCTGTAATAGGAATCCTGGAGTAGAAAGAGAGTCTGATGCTAGTAAAAATCAGGCAAGACAATATATGGCAACTATGGGTATGATCTTTAACATCCTATGCTCTAGGTGTCTGATAAATTTTGTAACTGTTTCATCACAAAGTAAGCTTTTTTCTAAAACCAAAGAGCGCAATGCCAAGTAACCATATAATCTGAGTGAACTTTCATGCTGCCCTTTTATAGTTGAGACTGCTACATTTAGAGGGGAAGGAAACTCAATTTGCTTATTTCTTGAAACCAGCATCTGCTTAATTTTAGAATAATATTTATAAACATTGGCTTTAAGGAAACAAAGGTAGATTTAAAACCATTTCCTTGCAGAGCATCAATGCAGTCATTGATGCTATCTCTGGCTTTTCAACTCAAGTTAAAAGAGAAATAGAACAAGTCAGGTCAGCATTACACATTATGATACAGAGTGTTTCTTTCCAGAATAATTTGAATAGAATGCCCAAGGTGGGCATTATTTAGGAAACACTGATCTTGGAAGGACAAATAAGTAATCAAATAAACTTAAGAATGTTTTCTCTCCCTTAGTGAAACCTTAAAATGGAACAGCTCAAAAAGTTCCAGTGGAACAGCCTCAGAGCAGTTAGTGGCAGGGCATGAGGCGCCCACTACCCGCCCAATCACAGCAGGGTTAGAACTAACATTGCATGCAGTCCGCCCGCGTGATTGGCTGAACATCTGTAAGTGCTTAATGGCTAGACAAATAGCAGCCCAGAGGGCGGGGGTCAAATGGAGGAGACATGAATAATACAGATATGGGACATTATTTTTTCTCTGCAAGGGAGAACTGATGACACACAGAACAGCTGCAAGCCCCAAGGACACTGTTGAGGAGGGTGTAGAGAATGATCATGGGATGCCAGCATCGAAAAAGCTGCAGGGCGAACGAGGCGGAGGAGCTGCACTCAAGGAGAATGTCTGTCAGGTAGAAGATGTTTCCCACTTGCATTTTGATTGCTTGCTTGTCTTTTAAAAGAAGGCCTCTTCATGTCTTAATAAGTGTATATGTAGTACCTACTATATGTCAAGAGTTTCCATCACTTTAAATTACATCATATAGTCCTAACAATCTTGTAAAGTAGATTACCATTATTACCCTCGGTTTTATAGATGAGGAAACTGAGGCATAAAGATGTTACATAGCTTGCTTATAGTCACACGGCAAAGCCAGGATTGAAACCCAGGCAATCTGGGTTTAGAGTCCTAACCACTCTGTTGTATTGCCTCTCTCTAAAGAGCCTTTATCAGACTTGATAGTAGAGTCCATTAAATGGATGCTTTGATTATGCTCTCTCTTTATGGGCTTGATTTACCTTTGTAAATTCTTAAAAGCTGACATATAAAAAATTGAAGATACTTGGTTTTTCTTCCTCTTTTCTAATTAAAACGGCTAAAAAATAAAAATAACCCAAGCCCAGGATATGCTATGATGAACAATAGAATTTCAACTTTCTTTGTTCATTTTCGCTATTATATAAAGATTGATCATATTCTGATGAGCACCCAAACACACTGTTAGTTCTCAGAGAGTGTATGCCCACAAAGATTATCAAGAAAAAATGGTTAAAGCTATAGTGGCCTTGTGGCCCTGAATTGTTTGGGCACTCTTTGTTTAAATCTATTGTCCTTGTATAATTTATTAATATTGTGTCCTTTTATTATGGTTCCTAATCTGAAAGATGAATTACATAATCATCCCAATTAAAGGGTTAGTCCATAACATTTGGTTAATTTTCAAACATTATTCTTTGATATGTATTGTAATTGAAGCTTTCCTGTTTAAATGATGAAAGCAGATTTGTTTATTGTATATAAAAGCTGGTATCACTGGCACTGTGAATATATAAAACATGGCAGTTGTCAATTTTTATGTGAATAGGAGATAATGAAAGAGACAAAGTTTAAGACTAACTTACACTATAGGTTGATTAAGACCTTGGGGGTCTGTCTGTTCTTAACGCTGGCTGCCTCTGGCCTTTTCCCCAAAGTTCTTCTACTCATTTGTTTATTTAAATTATGATGTTAAGTGGCCAAGACCAGTTCTGTTTCTTGGGTTCTTAAATGTATTAGACTTGCCTAGTCACCTTTCCTCACCCAGTAAGTATAAAACTTTTTGTCATTTTTATATTTTTCTCCTAATCAGTATGGGGAAACAAGTCAGGATGTTAGAGGGATAAAAGTAACAAATGTTGGGAATTTGCAGAATTTTCATAAATCTTACGGTGTTTTGAAACAAACATCCAGATCTTTATTTCCTAAGGCTCTATCAAAAATGGCACCCTATCTTAGATGAGATCATCTTAGAAAAGTGGCCTCTCTGAGATGGTTGTAGATGTATCTCAAAGGTCATTCAAACCTTGAGTAGAGCCCTTTTGGGACTGTTACAATCCAAGTGTAGCTAGTCAGTATCTCTTGCTTGAACTATTAGAGTAGCTTCCTTGATTGTCTCTTTGCTACTGTTCTCACATATCTCATTCTTGAACTCATTTTCCATGTAGTAATCAGAGAGATCTGTTTTTAAATGAATATTTGATTTTAGCCTTCCCTTGGTAAAGACCTTTGATGGTATACCTTTGTAATGAGAATAAAATCTGAAACTATACCATAATGTGTAAGGCCACACAATCAGGCTGTTGCCTTTTTCTTACCTCATCTTCTACCACTTCTAACTTTTGTTCCACTTTAGTCCACTGATTTTCCTTATGATTTTTAGACATGACATAGTTTTTCCTGTCTGTGGACTTTCTGTACTGGTCTTCCTGGTCTTTCTGTCTGACTAAATGACTGACTAGTAGCTCAGAACCCTGTCTGAGAGGCCGTTCCTAATCACCCAGTCCAAAATAGCTATTTGAATTCTCTACTTAATCTTATCATTATCTTTCCTGTTTGTTTGTTTACTTGTATTTTCTGTTCTTAGAATATGTGAACCATGAAAGCCAAGGGACCTTGTGGTACCTGGCATAGAGGAGTTAATCACTAAATATTGGCTGAATAAAGAGAGGGCTTTCTGCTTTCTAGAAAGCTGCTAGTTAACCTCTGCCTTCATGAAGGCCTTCTGTTCGGGACTTTAAAATCCTTTTTCTGTAGACATACCTGTTTTCTTTCTCTTAACAGAACTGTGAGAAACTGGGTGAGCTGCTGTTATGTGAGGCTCAGTGCTGTGGGGCTTTCCACCTGGAGTGCCTTGGACTAACTGAGATGCCGAGAGGAAAATTTATCTGCAATGAATGTCGCACAGGTGAAGTAGATACAGAAGGGTCTTCTTCCAAAGATGGTCTGAGTTTTAAGTTTTTCAGGAAAACCCAACATTTATTGGATACACTGTTTTTGTGGCGATACTGGGCTAGTTGCTGCAGACACGGATAGGTGCTTTGTAATCTTTGCCTGTAGAAAAGAATTCCAAGTGAATAATGACTTTATGGTATAATGCGGTGCAAAAGTATTGTAGTAGAGATACATTTAAAGTGATAGGTAAACAAAGATGAACCAGTGCCACAGAGAAAAAAAACTGAGTTTGGTTTTAAGAGAGACATGGTCATTGGTGTGGGGAGAGGAAGAATAGAAGGTCCAGTAATTAAAGTATAGCCTGTTTAGGGAATAGGAGGCATAGGTTTTGTGTTTAAGGTATTTTAGGGAAGAGGCATTGGTAGTGACAAGGAGGATTTCTGGATTACTGTCAGTGTTTTCTGTTTCTTGAGCTGACTGGTGATTACATAAGCGAGTTTATTTTATGGTTATTTGTGAACTATACACTTAGGATGCTGTACTTTTCTGTGTGTATATCATATGTCGACAAAACTGTTTACCAAAAGGGAAAGATCTATTTTAAGAGTTATAATATACAAATTGGGTCAGAAACTAAGAATGGTCAGATGGAACCAGCCTGTAAAGTACCTCACAGGCTGTGCTAAGGAGATTGTTCTTTCTTCAGCATTATATGTGAATGTTACAGATTTAAAAAAAAATTTTTTTAATGTTTATTCATTTTTTAGAGAGAGAGAGAGAGTGAGCGGGGGAGGGCAGAGAGAGAAAGGGAAGGAGACACAGAATTCGAAGCAGGCTCCCACCTCCGAGCTGTCAACATAGAGCCTGATGTGGGGCTCGAACTCGTGACATGAGGTGAAGTCGGACTGAATGTTACAGCATTTAAGTAATAAAAAAATGGGGGATGACAGCTGTTACACTCCTAAGTCATTAAAATCGTAAGTGTGCGTGATCCTGCCCTGAGTGAAAGCATGTGTAGAGTGAGAAGTGGGCAGACAACAGTACTTAGGGCATGCCCACATAGAAGAACTACTGGAATGTGAGGAGGAGCTAGTCAAAGAATGGCTGTGAAGCCGGGGGCAGTGGGGTGTCATAAGCAGTGGCAGATGTGGCAGAGAAACCAAGGAGGTCCTGGCGTGAAAAGAGACAGTTGTATTTGGCAGTGAGGAAAGGCTTGACTTTTTGCCAGAGGGTGCCATACTAAACCAGGTTGAAGGGTGCCTGGATACCAGTATACACTATTTCTCATAGAAGCCTGATACCATGGAAAAGAGGGCAGTAGTTGAAGGGAGGATATTATAGGGTCAAGAGGAAGAACATCTTTTTTTTTTTTTTTTTAATTTTTTTTTTTTTTCAACGTTTTTATTTATTTTTGGGACAGAGAGAGACAGAGCATGAACGGGGGAGGGGCAGAGAGAGAGGGAGACACAGAATCGGAAACAGGCTCCAGGCTCCGAGCCATCAGCCCAGAGCCTGACGCGGGGCTCGAACTCACGGACCGCGAGATCGTGACCTGGCTGAAGTCAGACGCTTAACCGACTGCGCCACCCAGGCGCCCCAAGAGGAAGAACATCTTGAGTGTTGGTAGGATAAAGGTTAAAAACCACATAGAGAAATAAATTCTTATAACAGAAGAGGGAATCATTGGAGGAGTACAGTTATAGAGACAGGAGAGAATAATTTTGAAGAGGCAAAAAGATAAAATAGGAATGTTCCTTGAAGTTGTGAGGCAGAAGAAGGAAGCTGAAGTTTTTTTCTTACATTGGTGAGAATGATGGGGAAAGGTGGTCTCTCGCTTGAAGGATAGAGTGTAGGTTTAGAGTAGCCCATGTGGGAACAAGAGACAGAATTAATTTGTGTCTTTATTTTTTTTTTCTTTTTTTTTAACGTTTATTTATTTTTGAGACAGAGAGAGACAGAGCATGAACGGGGGAGGGTCACAGAGAGAGGGAGACACAGAATCTGAAACAGGCTCCAGGCTCTGAGCTGTCAGCACAGAGCCCGACGCGGGGCTCGAACCCACGGACTGTGAGATCATGACCTGAGCCGAAGTCAGACGCCCAACCGACCAAGCCACCGAGGCGCCCCAACTTGTGTCTTTAAATAAGTGGCTCTGTCACATTGAGTTATCTCATCTTTCTGCCACTACTTTTAGTAACGTGTGAATAAAAGCTGGAAGACAAGATAGCTGTGGGTCATTTTGTCCCTGCATGGTGGTCTTTTTGATCATTATGGAAAATAGTGCCATCCACCCCTGTAAATGAAATTTAGAAAAAAATGTTTTGGTATGTGCATATCTCTTATCCTAATCTTAGAGCTTCTTGCCTTTTGTGCAAATGATCCAGTTTTGCTAGTTTTACCTTTTTTTTTCTTAATATTTTATTTTATTTTTGAAAGAGAGAGAGAGAGAGAGTACAAGCAAGAGAGGGGCAGAGGGAGAGGGAGATAGAATCTGAAGAAGACTCCAGGCTCTGAGCTGTCAGCACAGAGCCCAACACGGGGCTCAAACTCCTGAACCGCAAGATCATGACCTGAGCCGAAGTTGGACGCTTAACCGACTGAGCCACACAGGCACCCCACTGGTCTTATCTTTATTATAATGTGATATTCTCTGACCAAGTTAAGGCAAAACTATTTTAAGTTAGCCTCACTGAAGTGTAATTTACCTACTATAAAATGCACTCATTTTCATGTATGTTTTGATAGGTTTTGATAAAATTTATATACACCTGTGTAACCACAACCATGGAGAAGATTTAGAACATTTCCATCACTTCAGAAGGTTCTCTTGTACTTATTACAGTTAATCCTTATGCTCCTCTCTCCCCCAAATCTTATTTCAGGCAAATAATGATCTGCTTTCTGGTACTACACATTAAATTTATCCTTTTTAAGGGTTTCATATATATACGTGGAACAAAACATATATAGTTTTTTTGTGTCTGGCTCCATATAACGTTTTTGATGCTCATCTATGTTTTTTTTTTTTTTTTTTTTTTTTAATTTTTTTTTTTGACGTTTATTTATTTTTGGGACAGAGAGAGACAGGAGGCATGTGTAGACGGGGAGGGGCAGAGAGAGGAGAACAGAATGAGCAGGCTCAGGCCATCAGCCAGAGCCCGGCCAGCGAATATGAACTCAGGACCAGCAAGATCGTGACCTGGCTGAAGTCGGACGCTTAACCGACTGCGCCACCCAGGCGCCCCGATGCTCATCTATGTTAATGTGTGTATCAGTAGTTCATTCTCTGTCTTAAAATAGTTTATTGAGGTATAGTTGATGTACAATAAGCTGCACAAAGTGTAGTTTGATATGTTTTGACATATATATATGTCTGTATGTGTATATAACCCCTTGTGAAACCATCCCTCAGCATAGTTGAGATTTTTTTTTTTTTTTTGAACGTTTATTTATTTTTGGGACAGAGAGAGACAGAGCATGAACGGGGGAGGGGCAGAGAGAGAGGGAGACACAGAATCAGAAACAGGCTCCAGGCTCTGAGCCATCAGCCCAGAGCCTGACGCGGGGCTCAAACTCACGGACCGCGAGATCGTGACCTGGCTGAAGTCGGACGCTTAACCGACTGCGCCACCCAGGTGCCCCTTAATTTGAGATTCAACAACACTGTTGCAGGTTCATTCCTTTTTATTGCTGGGTAGTATGCCATTGTATGGATGTATCACAGGTGGTTTATTCATTCATCTATTGATATACATTTGGGTTGTTCTCAGGTTGGGGTATTACTAATAAAGCTGCTGTGAACATTCAAGTCTTTGGATGGACACATTTTCTTTTTACTTGTGTAAATACGTAAGGGTGGAATGGCATGGTAGGTATATGTTTAATTTTTTAAGAAACATTCAAATTGTATTCCAAAGTTTTTGTACCATTTTAAATTTTCATCAGTAATGCATGAGAGTTTCAGTTCTTTCACATCTTCATCAACACTTGGTATTGTCAGTCTTTATAAATTTAGCCCTTCTGACAGATGTATCATGGTATCTCATTGTGATTTTATTTTTAAATATTTATTTTGAGAGAGAAAGAGCAAGCGTGTGCACACGTGCTCAAGGAGGGGCAGAGGGAGGGAGAGAGAATGCCAAGCAGGTTCCACCCTGTTAGCACAGAGCCTGATGCAGGGCTTGATCCTATGAATCGTGAGGTCATAACCTCAGCCAAAATCAAGAGTCATATTCTTAATCCACTGAGCCACCCAGGTGCCTTCTCATTGTTATTTTAATGTGTATTTCTTTCTTTCTTTTCTTTAATGTTTGTTGTACTTTTTGAGAGAAACGCAAGACAGAAAGCAAGTGGGTTAGGGGCAGAGAGAGAGGGAGACAGAGAGACCGAAGCAGGCTTCAGGCTCCGAGCTGTCAGCACAGAGCCCAACGTGGGGCTCGAACCCATGAGCTGTGAGATTATGACCTGAGCTGAAGTCGGACGCTCAACCGACTGAGCCACCAAGGTGCCCCTTAATGTGCATTTCTTAATGATGAATGGTATTGTGTATCTTTTTTGTTTTTGTTTATATATATATATTTTTTAAATAATTTTTTTAATGTTCATTTTTGAGAGAGAGTACAAGCAGGGATGGGGCAGAGAGGATGGTTACAGAGGATCCAAAGTGGGCTGTGCACTGATAGCATGGCTCAAACTCAGAAACCATAAGATAATGACGTGAGCTGACATGAGACGCTCAACCAACTGAACCACCCATGTGCCCCTGTGCATCCTAATGTGCTTTTTGACTTCTTGGTGAAGTGTCCATTCAGATCTTTTTTTTTTTTTTTTAATTTGTTTATTTTCTTACTTTTGAGTTTTAAGAGCCCGTTGTATATATTCTGGGCACAAGTTCTTTATCTGATACATACTTCTAAAATTATTCTACCGATCTGTGGGTTGGTCTTTCATTTCCTTAATGGTGTCTTTTGAAGAGCAGTTTTTAATTTTCATGAAATTCAGTTTATTTTGTTCTTTTTAGAGATTTTGCTTTGGTGTCATATTGAATAAATCTTGCATAATCCAGTGTCACAAAACTTTTCTTTGTTTTCTAATGAAAATTTTATAGTTTTAGGTTTCATATTTAGGTCTATGGTCTAGTTTGAATCAATTTTTGTATAGGGCGTGAGGTAAAGAGTTACTTTTGAGGGTAGGAAATTTTACTCTGGTTTTAGTAAAGATGAATAGAGTAAGAATAAAGGAGTCATTTCTTACCCTATTTTCCTAATGGGGAGTGACTGTCCCATAATTTAGGTTATTCTAATCTAATATTGGCTGTGAGTTACTTGGCATTAGACAGTAAGTAGTTTGCTTCTTTCCAAATGCATAACTAAAAATTTTTCCTAAAATCATTATTAGTTGGGTAAACTTACTATTTATAGGTGAGATGGGCTATTTTAATGAGCTTCTATTTCCAGCAAGTGTCAGAGGCAAGTTCAGATGTGTCTTTCAAGCCTGAGCTTTTTCCTTTACATTGTATTGCTTCTCAGAGAGAGGTGGATTTTTTTTTTTTCTTTCCTTTGTATTACAGAAATCCTCAGACACTCAGGGTACCTGGGTAGCTCACTCAGTTAGGCATGTGACTTTGGCTCAGATCATGATCTCACTGCTTGTGAATTGGAGCCTGCTTCGGATTCTGTGTCTCTCTCTCTCTCTCTCTCTCTCTCTCTCTCTCTCTCTCTCTCTGCCCCTCCCCCACTCTCACTGTTTCTCTCTCAAAAACATTAAAAAAGAAGGAAAAGAAAGAAATCCTCAGACATTTATAAAAGTAGAACAGTGTAAAGATTCCCCCCGTATTCATCACTTAGCTTCAGTACTTCTTGGTGTTCTACCTCTGTTTACCCATGTATTTCAAAAGGTGTAACAGTTACTACTTAAAGATATATATCTAATGTGTAGCAAAATTATACAGTACCCAGTCTCATTTAAAAATTTTCCAATTTGTTTCAAAGATGTCTTTTTATAGTGTTTGAATCAAGATCCAGATAAGGTTTTCTTTATTTTTTGATATGTCTCTTAATTTCTCTTAATCTACAACATTACTACTCCCACCCTATTTTTAAGTGTCATTTATTTGTTGAGACAACGGTGATTGGTCCTGCTCAGTTTTCCACATTGTAAATTTGGTTGATTGCATCTTTGAGGTGTCCTTTTAACTTCTTCCTCTATCTCTTCCATATTTCCTGGAAACTTGTAGTTAGATCTAGAGGCTGAATTAATTTCAGGTCAGTTTTCTTCTGGCAGGAATGCTTTGTACGTAATGTGTAGTTCCTATTGTGTCACATTAGCAAGCAAACATTGTCAAGATTTTCTCAGTAGTGATTGATTGTTCAGTGGGTTCACGTTGTCATCCTAATCAGTCTCTTAGAAAGTTCTTTACTGTGATATTGTGATTTATACTAAGAAATGTGTATTTTGGTCTTTAGTTTATGGCACAGAGCTCCCAAGACCTTGGTGTCTCCTAAGGGGTGAGAGTGATAAAGATGTCCTCTGTGTGTATTTTATTATGTTAATGAAAGACACACCTAAGGATGGGGGCTTGATTGCCAGAAGAACCAATCCTGATTAGAGGGCTAGAACTTTCATTCCTAGCCCCCTAATCTCTAGCGAGGAAAAAGGGCCGGAGGTTGAATCACTGGCCAGTGGTTTAATCCGCCATGCCTATGCAATGAAATCTCCATCAAAACCTAAAAGGGTGGGTTTCAGAGAGCTTTTGAATGATTGGTGAACATGTGGAGATTAAGAAGAAAGTGGTGCCTCTTGGAGAGGGCATGAAAGCTCCATACCCTTTCCTCATATCTTGCCCTATTCGTCTCTTCCATTTAGCTGTTCATGAGTTACAACCTTTTGTAATAAACCGGTGATCCAGTAAATAAATAAAAATCTTTCTCTGTGAGCCATTTTAGCAAACTAATCAAACCTGAGGAAGACAGGGTCATGAGAACCTCTGATATATAGCCAGTCAGAAGTATAGGTGACAACCTGGACTTGAGAGTGGCATCTGAAGTTGAGGATGGGGCAGTCATGTAGAACTGAGTCCTTAATCTGTGGGATATGATGTTATTGCCAGGTATATAGTCTCAGAATTAAGTTGAATTGTAAGATACCTAGCTGGTGTTGGAGAAGTGCTTGGTGGTATGGGAACTACCCTTCCCGCTCCCCCCGACCCACGCACACACATACTCACACGCATACACACACCCCATATTGGAACTTAGTACAGAATAGTGTACTTACAAACTTTCATCTAATGCTTTAGCATTGGATGAACTCTTAAATTGGTGTTAATTTATTACTTTATTTCGGTTTCCCAGGAATCCATACCTGTTTTGTTTGTAAGCAGAGTGGGGAAGATGTTAAAAGGTGCCTTTTGCCCTTGTGTGGAAAGTTTTATCATGAAGAGTGTGTCCAGAAGTATCCACCCACTGTTATGCAGAACAAGGGCTTCCGGTGCTCCCTCCACATCTGTATAACCTGCCATGCTGCTAATCCAGCCAGTGTTTCTGCATCTAAAGGTATGAGTTTCTCACATGGACCAGTCTAATTGTAGAACCTCGCTTTCATTGGCAGTGTGTATTTCCAGGTGCTAACTGGCATCTCTTTGTGGCCTCTCTAGCTTTTGTCAAGAGTGTCAGCATTTTATGTGAGAGAGAGGAGAATAAGGGACTAGTCTAGCAGTTCCCACATTGTATTCTGTGGAGCCCTAATGTTATGTGGTGTTTTGAAATATTTCGATTTCTTAGTTTGAGAAAATATTGTGCTACATGCCTTTCTCCCCCTACTCCATTAGACCAAAGTGTATTATTCGTTTCCTATGGACCCTTTATATCTATGGTTGTCAGATGTGATATCATTCAGACATGAATTTAGGGTAGAATTGAGGTTTTTGTTTTGTGTTGGTTTATTTTTTTTTTAATGGAAACTTCTATCCTAAAACCTCTTTCCTGCATTATAGTTAGATTGAGAGCTAAAGTTTCCAAAACTGCCTATAGTTCCAGGTAAATTCAAGTTTTTAGGTCTGTTCTCATTGGGAAAACAATCATTTATTTCTGTTCAATAATAATAGGGTCTCTTACTAATTTTCCCAAGCCAAATATTGTGTCTCTACTATTAAATGCTTGTGTGCCCACAGAGCCCTCATTTCTCCCATAGGGGATTGAGGAGGAAAAACGTAGCAGTGTTTTGCCTTTGCTTTTAATTAGACTGGCAGTACCTTTTGTAATATGATTCCTTGGACTTATAGATCTCCTCACTCTTAAGTACAGTAATTTAACTTGCTTGATCAAAATTACAGTTTAACCATCAGTTTACCTTCCCATTTTTAGTTGCTATTGTAGATTACATTTAGATGATTTGGTAATGGTTTCTATTTGGTGTGATACATGTTAGAGGACATATTTTATCTGGAAGGGGTTCATTCACCTTAAAGTTCTGGCTTTAAGAATCACATAGTACCAAGCAATATTATTTATTAGTCTTTCTCTCTCCCAGCTGGCCTTCTTTCTGATTGTGCACATCCCTTCTATTTAGTTTGAGGCTGATTCCAGGTTTCCTAGGAGTCTAGGCAATGGATTATATAGGGTTTTTCTTGGTGAGGCAGGCTCACTTAATAGTCGTGAGATCTGACTCTTTGTGGCAACTTATCACATAGCTCCCATCTGAGCTTTTCATAGTGAATTATGTGTTTTATCATCCCTTGTCCTAGTAGTGTTTCCTTCTGTTAGTGACATTTTCTCAGTGCTGACAAAGATTTCAGTAACTCGTGTTGTTTTATACTTAATCTCTTTGTTTTTTGTCTGCTACTCTGGTTTTCCTGCTTGTAATTTTAGGTCGTCTGATGCGCTGTGTCCGCTGCCCTGTGGCATACCATGCCAATGACTTTTGCCTGGCTGCTGGGTCCAAGATCCTTGCATCTAATAGTATCATCTGCCCTAATCACTTTACACCTCGACGGGGCTGCCGAAATCATGAGCATGTTAACGTTAGCTGGTGTTTTGTATGCTCAGAAGGTAAGACATGACTGCTTAATGTATGAATAGTCTAAAAAGAGGTTAATACAATATTTTAAGTGCAACAAAAATCATTTTCTTCACATTGTTAGTAGAGAAAATATTGGGATGTAATGTCTTGAACTTAGGATAACATAGCAGAACTTTTAAACTTGTTTTTTTTCCCTGATAAGGGAGAGGTTTTATTTTGTTATTTTGAATAATGACCTTATTTTCATTAAAATGATAAATGAAACAAAGAGAAAGATAAGGCAAAGGAAATAGAATCACCCTTGGAAAATGGGGGAATGTGATCAAACAGTACAAACTTCCAGTTAGAAGATTGGTAGGTTTGTGGACTTAATGTACACCACGGTAACTATAGTGACTAATACTGTATTGCATATTTGCAAGTTGCTAAAGAGAGTAGGTCTTAAAAGTTCACACTACCACCAAAAAGAAAAAATTATAATTATGTGAGATGTTTGATGTGTTCCCTAACCTTAGTTGGGCAATCATTTCACAGTATATACATCTAGTCATTATGTTGTACACTTTATACACAACGTTATATGTTAAATAAACTGGAGGTAAGGAATAATAATTAATAAATAAATAATCCCAAATCGTCCCAAGTTCCACCATCAGAAAAAATCATTACTTAATTTTAAGTGATACTACATAAGACATTTGTGCACATAAGCAGATAGCAGGGGTATATATCTAGATAGAAATAGTTCTAGAAGATGGTATTATATTGTACAATTGTGTTTCTTTTTTGTTAAATCGTTTATTCATGAATATAAAAGGAAAGTGAAGGAATTTATGAACATCTATTATTTCTTAACTGTTAGAGGTATTCCTAAAAGTTCTTCTAAAGTGGAAGAAAAATAAATTTTATATCTTTATATTTTTTTTCTTCAACTTAAAACATACTTCTTTGATAGAGTTAGTGTTAAGCTTCTACATTTTTTTCAATTCCTCACAGCCTGATTTTTGCTAGTTATTGTAAGTGGATGGTTTAGTAATCATCACTACTCTATTTACTATGGTGCTTATAATTCTGATTTCCTTATTTTAATTTTTCTCTTGGTTGACTGAACTTCTAGGAAGCACCCAGAGGTGCTTATTTCTCTGCTTGAGGCTATCCATCATTTGCTTCTATACTAGAAGCATGTGTTGGGTTACTATAAAACAGGATATGTGTTCTTTTTCTAAGATGTTGTGGACATTGCTTCACTGTTTTTTCTGTTGTTGATGGTGACACCAGTTCTCATGTAGTTTCTTCATTACTTTTCAAATTGACTAAATTTTATTGATTAGTAATTTAGGGGGAACAATTTCTCTCACTTTTCTGTTTCTTTAATACTTATTGGCTATGCAGTTTCATGAAAACTTGGCTGGTTATGAACATTCTGAGGGACTCATTTAAAAAGTCAGTATGTCTAATTGAATGAACATCCCTCTTGAGAAATTTGGATATATACTAAATAGTGCTAAAGTCATAGAAGAAGGTTTTTCAACTGCTTTATATGATTGAAGTGGTCAATTTGGACTTTTTGTGCTCTTAGAAGATTCATGTAACATGACAATTTAAGGAAAAGATACACTTAGAGGACATGGTTTGTATCCTCAAACCATTCTATGCTGCTAATATAGAATAAACAAAAAGCACGTTAAGTGCAGTTACAGATAAAGAGGGAAGCCTTTGGGGTAGAGATGTTTTAATTCACAAAGAGGACATTCTTTTTGTTCTTCTAATACCTGCTCCTTATAAACACTGTCTTGTGAACACTGCTGTCTATTTATTATACCACTCTTCTTTTGTTTAGAAGAAAGTTAAAGACAAGAGTTTGGTATTTAATAGCTTTTAAATATAACATTCTGGGGGCACCCAGGTGGCTCAGTCAGTTAAGCATTCGACTCTTGATGTCGGCTCACACCACGATCTCACAGTTCGTGGGATGGAGCCCCACATCGGGCTCTACACTGAAAGCGTGGAGCTTGCTTGGGATTCTCTCCCTCCCTCCCTCTCTCTCTCTCTCCCTCCCCCTCCCTCCTTCTCCCTCTCTCTTCCTCTCTCCCTCCCCCCCCCGCCCCTCTCCCACTTGCTAAGTCTCTCTCAAAATAAATAAACTTTAAATACAACATTCTGTAATTCTACTCTTAGAATAAAAACAGGTGTCTGGGAGGCTGAAGTGTAGGCTCCAAAAGTTTTCCACATTTCTTGGAGATGGGACGATGAAACAGTTTCAACATTTGACCATTTCTAACTCCAGAGTGGGATGAAATGAATAAAAGCGAGAGTGCCCATGTGATAGCTTTCCTAACATGGAGCATCCTAACTGAAAAGCTACTGAATCCATTAATGGATATACATAATGGTAACTGAGTTTCCGAGAAAACTTAGTAGCTGCAACAGTAGCAGCTTTCAAAGTGTAGGCCCTTTCAGAGGCTTCCATGAAATCATAACTCTTCATAATAATAATAGTAAGATACTACTTGCCATTTATAATTTGTTGACATTTACACTGATGGTTCAAAACTAGTGGTGGGTAAAACTGCTGCACCTAATATAAATCAAGGCAGTGGCTCTAAACCATATAAGTAGAAGCAGTCCCTTGTGTTCTGTGTCACCACACACTCTGTTTTTTTAAAAAAAGTTTCACACAAGACTATTCTTATATAATAATCATTAATTTTATTGAATATCAATCCTCAGGTGAACATTGTTTTTAATATTCTGTATTATAAAATGGGAAGTGCATATAAAGTGGTTCTTTTGTATACTGATGGTTATCTTAAGTTAAAGCACTCATGCAATTGAGTTGCAGTCTGAACTAGCTGCCTTGTTCATGGAATGCCAGTTTTAGTTGTAAGAATTACTGTGACAAACCATGGCTCTTCACACTTGGATATTCGTCAGACATTTTCTTGAAAATGGATAAAAGTGAGCCTGTTTTCAAGGAAAACACACAGACAGAAGTCGTTGCCAGTGATAAAACTTGAGCTCTTAAGTGAAAATTAGAATTTGGAAAACTGGTAACTATCACCCTGAAGCTTAACAGCTTTTTAGTATTATTGTGAAACCCTCATGATATGAATAACTGATATTATAATAGTATATAATGAAATAGATCAACATTTGGAAGATCTACCTAATTCAGCAAACTAGTATTTTCCATATGACCAATGTGCAATGTGCACATTAAAAAGTTAAAAACCATGCATATATAAAAGATCCATTCAAAGTGCAAGACAGATCAATGAATTTTAATGTAGTAGTACTAAAAGTTTATTGAAATTATTTCAGATTTGACATTGCAACTAAAGTCTACCCTGTGGAGTTTTAGTGTATAGATAGTATCAAAGAAGGAATTTGTATAGGTCTTGAACAAGTTACTAAAATAGTCCTTTTTTATAAGTATTTATCTGAGAAAGAACAGATTTTCTTCATGTGCCTCAACCAAACAGCATATTGCAATGAATTCAGTTTAAAATATTTGTAAAAATGTGAAACACTGAGCCCCATTAACATATATTTTGGAAAATAGTTAATTTTTTTTACAAAATTTATATTAATAGAATTTGATATTTTAAAAAAATTTTTTTTTTCAACGTTTATTTATTTTTGGGACAGAGAGAGACAGAGCATGAACGGGGGAGGGGCAGAGAGAGAGGGAGACAGAGAATCGGAAACAGGCTCCAGGCTCTGAGCCATCAGCCCAGAGCCCGATGCGGGGCTCTAACTCACGCACCGCGAGATCGTGACCTGGCTGAAGTCGGACACTTAACCGACTGCGCCACCCAGGCGCCCCTAGAATTTGATATTTTTAAATGAATTAGTAAATATTTAAAAATTTTCTTAATTTTGATTTCTGTTTAGTAAATATACATATTTTTAGCTTACATAAACAAAATTTATTTTGGGATCTCCAAGAATATAAAGTTGTCGTGAGGCCAGAAAGCCTGAGACCTGCTAGACACGAACATATATTTTGCTAAGGCTTTACCCTCACTAACTCTTCAGGACAAGACTTGGAGTTATATGTTTGAGTCTAGCATGTTTGAAGCATGCTCATTTGTGACCTTAAGGTATTTATTATATTCCCTAAATATGATTCCTCTTTACCTAAAATTCTTTACAGTCTGTAACCATGAGGATTTCAGCTTCAGACATATAAATTGAATCACTTTAAGTGAAAATCTTTAGGAAGTGAAAATTCCTTGTCATTGCAATATATGTAATTATCCTGGTGTCTGAAAACCTCAATGGAGAAGGGAGAACATACATTTAATTGAATTTTAGGGCAATAAATCACTTTAGTACCTGTGACTTTTTTGTCAACTGTGAAAATCATAGGTATTTCATTTGTTGTAGATATCTTTTTTTTTTTTTTTTTTTTTTTT